AAAAAAAAAAAAAAAAAAAAAAAAAAAAAAAAAAAAAAAAAAAAAAAAAAACTGAAACTATAATAAAAATGAATTATTCATCTGCAAGTGCATGCATGTCTTACGCTTATAGTACCTACGTATCACTCGGAAAGCACACGACTGTGATTCATGCATATTTTAATCTTGATTTATAGCACGTGGTGCAAGTATCATGTATTCCAGTACTATTTCACTTTTACGTTATAATCAAGTCGTAAAACGGCAAGGGACCTTCTAGTAAAATTCACTTGATCGCGTTTCCAAGTAATAATCGCGTTTTTTTTTTTTAGAGATATGTAGGACTCTATTATTGAACTTATGTTATTAAAGTTCTCACGACCACGTCCGACATTGATTTCATCGAAGGGATTTGTCAAAACGCGCAAGGCTAATAAAAGTTTGAATGGAAGCTCAGACACATCGACAGCTCTATCGTGAGCCTTTTAGTTTTTATTACTCGATTTTTTAATTCTAGTCTCAACCACAACCAACATATGACTTTTTCTTGACACACTGAAATGTTTCGCGCGTAATTTATACTTTTTTTCATTTTGAGGAACAAACGCACCCGCATCAATAACATATTTCTCAACTCTCATTTACTTCTGAATTATGTGGCCATTGTTATCCCTATAGTCCGATAATTAATTAAAAACACGAAATGCCAAAAATCCAATAAAAACCAACACAAGCCCAACCCATGGATTATGAAATGAATCCACATCGGCGGCAGTTACCTGTGAAATAACACCCGCGGACAGGCATTTGGGAACGATCGCTTGGCCATCGACGAGTTTGAGTCGTCCGGCCAGACTGTGCAGGTCGTGCGGGCCGGCTCTCAGCGTGTGCAGCAGGTGGAGCACCAGGGACTGGCGCTCCTGGGTCGTGAAGAAGCGGCTCTCGTCGTCGCTGCCCTCGAAGCAAGTAGCCTCCGAGCCGACGAACTCCTTGAGACCACCCCCGTACTCCTGGCGCAGGCGTTTCGGCAGGTGCACCTCTTCGGCGGCTTTGAGGAGCCTGCGAGGACCCCGAAAAAAACGGTAGTTGTAATGTCATGTGGAAATCTTGGAAGAACCCACTGGACAAAGAGCTTCTCAATGCGTTGTAAGATGGAAAAAAAAAAAATCATCCCAAAGTTCCCCGGAAGCTGTACGTCCCAAAACAGATAAAAATATACCAACACGGCGAACGGTGCGGTCAGATAGAAACCGTAACTATCCGACGAGGCGTGATGCCGCACGTGAACCACGAGTCCTGGCGTCCCGGCGCGAAGGCGTCCCAGAAGCCACATTAATGTCTTGTCGTTGCTTCCGCTTGGAAACATCATGACAACGTCGCACTCCTGCAACACAATAAGGAACATTTGTTAAGGAAAAAAAGGAAGGAAAAAAAACGAGCTTTATTAGAAATTGTTCGACCGGCATTGGCGAAGAAGGGATACAAAGTACTCTGGGGACTGCAGCTGAGACCGGCTGGCGAGTGTTGTATTAATTTTCTAGCCACAAGCGCGAACGCTCCTTGATGTATGAGGCTAACGTTCGGTCCAACCAAGTTGGCTTACGCGAGTTTCCCTTGCGTGAATGTATTTTGCAGCGTCGCACAACTTTCACCCCATAGGGGAAGTTTGAAGGATATTTACGGGACTTTGGAGTTACGGGATACTTTGCTTGATTGTTTTTCGTTGCGTTTTCTCTTTCACTGCAGGGGATGCTTGTCATCCTGACTCGGTAATATTGACAAAGGCGTGTGTAGTATACTTTAACATATACAATTAATTTAGAAACAATGACTTTAACAGGATTGGAAACTCGAAATGCAAATACCATACGTTCGAAAATATGTAAATTTTGTTAAATAACCGAGTGACTAAATTCATGCAAAACACTTCGTGTGTGAGGCACGACCAGTATACGAGGTGCCAGAGCATAAAGTTTTATTTCAACAGCAAGATTCAATTTTATTCTGTTGTTACATCCAGCTGACTTTTGATATAAGTATGCTAAAACTTTGAATTTGTACTAACAAACTTAAGTGTTACAAAATCGAACAAAAAAATGTTACAAAGTCAATACAATGAAGTGGTTTTTTTGGTAAATCTATAATTTTCGTATTAAAAATTTTATCTTGAAATGCGACGAACAAAAATTAGATGGTTTAAAACGATTTTTTGGCTATTTTGAAGCGATTTTTGTCTTTTAAAGCCCGTTAAGAAGGCATTTCAGAGAAAAACCGACTGTACGAAAAAGTTTCATTTTAATGAGCTTTACAATTGTTATATTTAACACTTTGTTGTAGAATTGGAATTAAATTTTGTAACAGGAAATAAACGATTTTTCGCTATTTTTGCGTGTACTTTACTTTATAGAGCGTCGGCATTGCAATCTAGAGCAAAGTGTATGATACAAAAAAATTGTATTTTAACGAAATCTACAACTCTACCTTTGAACGTAAACGTGTAAAATGTATGAAAAAAATTACTTCCATACTTCCATACATTAATTTTGTTGCTGACTCAGATCACCCTCATACTAAGTTTAAAATTTGTTTTATATTGAAAATAGACGATTTAAAAGAGGTTCTAAGGCAATGATTTCTGAAGCAATTTATACATTTATCGTAAATATACATACACATAGGTAACAACTTGTTTCGTCATTAATATGTTAAAACGAGATTTCGAATTTTTTGGTGAATTTTTTTAAAAATTTTTCTGTCACATTACATGGACAAATATAAATTCAATTTCAACTATATTACACTCATTGATTTGTCTATTGTAAAAGTGAATTTAATGATTTTTTCATTTTAAATAGAAAAGTTTTCCACTTATTTTTAATAGATAAAATTCTATCCTATTATCATTTCAGTGTCTTTTTATTGCATATGCTAATTTGGTTTCAATAAATTTTAAAAAAATTATTAAAACTATCAGTAATGATATCTTTTGACATTTCGTTACTGGATCCATTTAACGACTAACCCAATGTTTTAATATCGAAGATTTTTCTACTTTAACAATAATAAGAAAAAAAAAAAACGTTACTTTCAAACAGTAAGTCGATACTAAAGTAGTAAGTTAAATTTTTTCAAAACCTATACTTCGTATACCCATTCTTGTTTTCTAATTTGAGGCATGAACAACACCTATTATCATATCATTAGAGTCACTATACTAATCAACAAAACTGTGACACTGTTTTGAAATGCTCTGAAATGTGTATGCAGTTAAAACTCCATGATTTCGTACATTAGAACTCTAGCGACTATCAAACTGTATGTATTAAAGTTGTTTATCGTAAAATAATTTCGAGAATATGTTAAGCTTGTTTGGTGATACTGTATAAAATATATAACTATATAAAAATATAAAATAACGGTCTTAACTTTTTTGCTAATACATACATACAATGATTCGACTCTTCAAGTGATAGAAGAACATTTTGGTTTAAGTTTTTGAATTTTGTTTCTATAGATACAACGTGTATTACATATCAAAGAGTCTGAGACCCATTTAATTTTACAAAAATACAACAGAGTGATACTAGTCAGAGCTTGTACACCACAAAAACTATTTTGTACATCATAAATTGGAAAACAAACGGGTAAGTTTTACTATTATACTAAAAAAATTTTTTTTAATCCAAAAAAAATTCTCAAATACTATTTATATACTAAGTATTTGAGTTAATTGTGTATTTCTTCATAGTCAGCTAATACTAACCTCACTTCCGACATGTTTAAGCACGTGTAGCTATTTATGACAATTGGTGTAATGTTTAGTATACATTTATTTATTCCTCAGCTTATAAATACTTTTTCTACTTTTTTTTCATGAGCCTCAATTTTTTATTGAAGTATGTTTCATACTTATCGTAATCTACCATATTTAACAGTGCAAAAGCGTAGTGTTCAAAATAATAACGTATAAAAAGTACAACACAAATAAATAAAAACTACTTTTAAGCAATGTAAAAGATAACAAAAATTTAACTAACTTTTTTTCATACTCATGATCAGTAATGCATTAAATTTTGTAAATAAACTTTTATAAAATGTCACCACATATATTGCATTTATACTCAACCAGTAGTATTTTAGTATTTTTAAGAGAATTTTTAAAAAATAAAAAAACTTAATGTTCTCGAATTTTTCAAATTTTAATTTATCTAAGCTCATACACAATAAATAGTAAGTATCAGACGGTATTTGTTAACAATCATAGAAAAATTTTATAGCTCACAATTTAAACGATCAAATTCACAAAATTTACCTCGTTTTTGTCTCCCGTTCTTTAATAAAAGTTTTTTTAAGACTCCCTCAAGATAGGAATTATTCTAATATGTATGTCTCTTCCTACTCACATATAATTTTTTCATGTAAATTATGGAAAAATCGTGTTACCTTCACTTAAATTTGTGATCACGATTTTTTCTTAATAGTATATATTATGTACATGACATAGCGGGAAAAAAATCCGGTTTCAAGGATGTGGCTCGAAAAAATTTTTTATTAAAAACGAAGGACAAAAATGGGATACTTTTTTGGATTTACTCATACCTCTTTTTAAAAAAGTGATTTACTTTTAGAATAGTATAAATTTTTTACCTCATAAAAAAACCTCTTTAACACAGATAAAACTCTTTCACCATGAACAAAAAAATACAATTCATCGAACCGTTCTTATTATTTATTGCAGAAAAGGCACTTCCACATCATAAAATAGTCAGTAAAGCATAAATCAAAAATCTACTCTCAAGCAGCCAACTGTGCATCAGCTTCTGCAGAATATCGTTCATGAATATGGCCAGCTGCTACACTTCTCACGTTTGCGAAGTTTGTGGAAAAGCTTGCAAATGTAACTCTCAACTCAAAATACACCAAAGGATTCACATGAGTGACAGGCTCTTTACTTGCAAAATGTGTTTCAAAACCTTCACCCGTAGGAGTAATCTTGTAAGGCATGATAGGATCCATACTGGTAGTAGACCCTTTCGCTGTAATTTATGCTCCAAAACATTCACCCAAAAAGAACATCTAACAGTGCATGAGAGGATCCATTCAGGCGACAAGCCCTTTACTTGCAAAACGTGTTTTAAACGACGAGTGTTTACGAACCTTCGCCCTAAAATGTAATTTTGAAAGACACATGGGATATGTACACGCCCACTACTGCACCGAAAATCCATTGAATAAATTTGTTATTAAAAATTTTAAAAATTTCATGACTGAAGTAATTTCCTAATACTAGAGCTGTAAGCTAATTTTTTCAAAAGCTATACTTCGTATACTCATTCTTGTTTTCTAATTTTAGGTATGAACAACACCTACTATCAAATCATTAGAGTCACTATTCTAATCAGCATTAATGTGACACTTTTTTGGAATATTCTGAAATGTGTATGCAGTTAGAACTCTTACAACTGTTAAACTGCATGTATTAAAAATTCTCATCGACAAATAATTTTTATTAAAATGATTTTAAGAATATGTTGTTAAGTTCTCTGGTGATACCATATAAAATATATAGCATGAAAGGATCCACACTGGGACTAAACCCTTCAGTTGTAACTTGTGTTCCAAAACCTTTTCCTGCAAGGAAAATCTTACACTGCATGAGAGGATCCATTCAGGCGACAAGCCCTTTACTTGCAAAACGTGTTTTAAAAGCTTTACTAAAAACAATGTAACGTATTTTGTTACAACTTAAGTATTTATTTGTTAGAAATAAAAGTCTTCTGGAATTGAAAAAATGTAATCTTAATTCAAGAGAATATTGTGTTGGACCTAATTTTGTACATTTTATTTTTTCATTCTAAGGAAGTTTTTTTGTGAAGAAATCAATTTTTTTGTACTGTTATACTTTAGGAATTTTTTTGTGTGGATATTACACACTTGGTGGGTCTAATAAGTATTGTTGTTCCATACCACAAAACAAAGGTATATAATGGTTTAANACTGCACCGAGTGTGAACTAATCTTCGTCCGACTCAGAGAATTGAAAAATCATTTGAGTCAACAGCATTGCTTCTTTATCGAGAAAACGAATCAACGAAGTAACGAAACTTCGTAAATCATGATCGATTCTTTTTGACTCCGAGTTGTTTTAAACAGAAAAATGCATTCGCCAAAACTCAACACTTGAGTAAAAAATAAGCAACAAAATTTATTTTTCGTCAGTAACATAATTTTTTGAAATTGAATGAAAAAATAGAAAGTTACGATCTTAACCAGTCAAGGTCAGCGAAAGAGAAAGTTCGTTCAGCCAAACGAGTGTCACGAGACATTCGTGATATTATGGGAAGAGCCAAAGCCCGTGCATGAATAAACCAATACACGAGAAAATGTA